TAGGGGGAGGAGAGTTTACATTAGAACAGGCTCAATAATGTGGATTACACGTACTATCGCTTACTTGTATTCAAACACTTGCTTGATCCTCGAGAAACTGTTTCAGAGCGGGCCATTCAATCAAAAAGCAGTGAAAGAAAGCACTGTTAAATAATCTTGTGTCCATCCAAGTCTGTGCTCTAATCCTCTTTTTTTAATGAGCAGTGGTCAGGGATAAGACCCGACCTTGGTGCTTTGGAATGACGTTCTGCCTTTCTCTGCCTTTAAAGGAGATCACAGGGAAGGTAGAGAGAATGTTTCTTCCACTTAGTCTATGGTTTTGTGTGCGGAGAAGCTTTAAATAGCTTTTCATTTTGTGACATGAAAATGGTGTATACTATTCAACTCTTACAGCTCTTAATGTTTTATGAATAAGCTTTGGTTTCATACATGACAACAATGTGATTATAATTTTTTATTTGATAGATAGATTTATTCAGCAAGGACACATTACATTTATCAGAAGTAACAGTAAACATATTTGTTACAAAAGATTTCTATTTCAAGTAAATGCTGTTTTTTTAACTTAAAAATATATTAAATCAGAAAACCGTTTTCAATTGTAATATTTCATAACATTACTGTTATTACTGTATTTTTATCAGATAAATGCAGCATAAGAGCATAAGTGACCTCTTACAAAAACTTGAACCTTAAAAAATATTGCTGAAAATCAATCTTCAAAAATGAATAGATAGATAGATAGATAGATAGATAGATACATTTAAGCTGCATTTATTAGATTAAAATACAGTAAAAACAGTGATACTGTGAAATATTATTGTGATTTTAACTGTTTTCTAATTTCATAAATTGTAATATAATATTGTAATTAAATCCTGTGATGGCAAAGCTGGATTTTCAGATCCCATTACTTCAGTTTTCAGTGCCACAATATTCTTCAGAAATCATTAAAATATTGCTGATTTGGTGCATAAAATATGCTGATTTGGTATTTGAATGATTTCTGAAGAATATTAGGCACTGAAAACTGAAGTAATGTGTTCTGAAATATGTATATCCATCCATCCATCCAATAGTAATTTAGATTAATAATACTTTTTAGTAATAAAATAATGATTAAATAATTAATAAATAATTAAATGATCACATTATTAAAATATTTTTTTATTTGTAATTGTTTTAATAATCATGCACAAAGTGAGTTTTTATGCTCTAGCACCACTTTTGCGTTCTTCATTTTTTTTGCCTATAAATCATGCAAATTTCATATACCTGAGAAAGGGACTGGTTTATGCGTTTGGTTCAGAGTCTAGCATGAACTTGTGGGAATGAAATATTGCTAATAGGATTAGACTCCAAATTACAGGATTTAGTTTTTGTGTGCCAGTGTTTTCCAGGCATATAGTGAACACTGACCTTCATAAATCCCGCTGCCCGGTGTGATAGCAGAGTGAATGCACAGCGATGCCCGCAAATGTGATGCACTAAACGAAGGAAGTGCACTGCAAATGTGTCCTTTAAAATGTTTAAAGAATGTTAAAACACCTTGCACAGCTGAGAGGTGAGGAACAGCTGCAGACAGGCTTTATTGGTGAGAAGCTTTTAGTGACAGCTTTGGTGGAAAGCCATCTCGTTTTATTGACAATGTGAAAAGAAAAGTCCCCGTCGTTCTAGACTCTCACAGGATTTAGTGCTTTTAGAAGCTTCTACAGGCTCTTAGCGTGTTCTTTTTCCATTTGAAAAAGTGCATAGTGAAAGGTATTTTGCAATGAAAAGACAAGCAAGGTATTTTTAGGCACTTCCTCTGTCGGTCTGTGTGTATGGGGGGCTGGGAACTTGGGATGGCAGGGGACTTAAGTCGGTGTGTAAGAGAACTGACCTCAGCGGCGATTGCAAATGCAGTCACTAGAGCATGGTGCAACTCCCAAGGCTCAGGTTGACCTTTAGCCACAAACACTCTTGATTTCTAACTCCCTGTCTCCTTGAGACACACGTAAACGAGCTGCGCTGACTTCAGTGAATTCCAGCCAGCTCCTCCTCACAAGAGTGCATGGGAATCCTGCTTTTGTGACCCAGGAAGTGAGCATCAGAATGGTTTCCACAACAACCCTGCTTTGCAATGTGGAATCAGAAAGAAATAAAAAGGAACGAGAGAGAAAGAGTGACGCATTTTTAAAAAAATTACAAATTACATCTATTTAATATCTAACTTGTTTCTCCTACACAGGAATGGGTCTCCTCATAAAAAATCCTGAACACAAAATGTACCACAGTTTACACAAAAATATTAGCCAGCACTACTGTTTTTAACATTTTAACAGTTTAATGAGCACCATTGAACATATTAGAATGATTTATTAATGATCATGTGACACTGAGGACTGGAGCAAAGGCTGCTAATAAATTAATTAATCACAGGATTAAATCATATTTAAAAATATATTCAAATAGAAAATTTATTTTAAACTGTAATAATTTTTTACAATATTGTTTTTACTGTAATAATAAGAGCAAAAGACACAAAAAATCTCATGGATCCCAAACTATTGAATGATAGTGTACTGTATCATTTAAGATTTTTGTAATTACCTTAAAGAGTAAAGAAAGCAAAATCAGTGAAAGTAGTGAAAAAACTGAAAAATTGGGTCTTATTTTTTCTATAATGGTAGCCACAGACTTTCCATTTTGCTCCAGTTTTGCAGTTGGTCCTTAATTTAGGCACGGACAGCTCAGTGGCAGGTTTGTCTGATGGAGGGAGAATGATGGTGGGCACCGTGGGCCCCTCGCTCTCCTCGGTGACCAAATAAGGGCAGTCTGCAGACTCAGTGCTTATGGAGGAGACAGGGGGCACAGAGTTGGCACGGCTCAGGCTTAGCAGAGCCTTCGGTCTCATTCATAACAAATATGTCCATCAGAAGCTGATGTCATGCTTATTATGTTCTGGTGAGAGACAAGACATGCTATGTTAGGACCGTAGTGACTACTAAATCTATATTAGCTGGGCACAGAGGACCCTAAAGTCATACATTGTTAGTGACAAGTTATGCATTGTTTCTGTAATGCATAAAGTGATAAGCAGTTGTTCATGAAATGGAAGCTCACCCTGTGCATCTTATTGATCTTGCATATGCATTTCATTATGCATGTATAATTACATTATTGCTTTTTTTTATTAAAGTTTGTCATTTTTAATCAAAATATTATAAATCGATTTTCTGGTGAAACAACAGAGTGAAGTATGCCAGACTTATCTAATCATTTAGTCTGCCTAAACCCCAAAACTTTCTTGCAATCAATTGCTGGCGCACATTCAGATCTGCCTCCATCCAATCAAAAACAGATGAAATGAACCAAGTCCATTTATTTATATTTTGACAGTCTGTTTCACTCTGTTGTACGTCACAATACAAAAGACAAGATATGTTGCTACTTCTTGGTTAATTTCTTCGATCTGACAGGGTTTCATCGAACTCATTTTCTTGCAGTTTGAAGATGTTTTCTCTGCCGGTGCTTGTTACGTTTCATAAAAGCAGCTCTCACAAATGCTTCAAATGAAACTCTATCATTGGAAAGTGTCTTGTTGTTTTCTTGATCCATATTTGTCAAGGTTAGAATGTGAAACATTTGAGACGACACACTTTTAAAGGGTATTTGTTGAGTTATTTGACTTTTCTTTTGTGACTCTTCTTCATTGACCATGCTAGATGTTTGGATTTATGTTTTTTTTTTAGAATTATAGGTGTAAAAATACATAGAACAGGTGCTACTATTCAGCTTTACACACACGCACATTCATGTGAACTATAAAACACCTGGACGTGTGCGTCTCACCCTTTGCATGAAAGGGAAATGGGGATCGTTGAACGTGACAGGTTTGCAGAGCGTGACAACTGGACAGTGGAGGAAGGAGAGGAGGAGTGCGGGGTGGGTACGCCCTGTGTAGTGCTGCCAAAAGCAAACAAACCACAGTCCACTGATAGCTCAGTACAAAGAAGCCAGAACAGAACAGACCTAAAGATTGAACCTCTCTCTTTCTCTTGCCCACTTCCTCTCTATCTCTTATTCTCTCTTAACATGCCAGCTGGACTGGGACGGACAAACGATACATGCCAAATTCTGATTGGACAAGTCCGTCATACAGATCAAGCTTTCTCTTTGTTATACAAAGATTTTTGTGTGTGTGTGTGTTTATGTATGTGTGCAAAACTTGCCATTTTCTGTTGAAACAGGAAGGATGTTGGACGAAACATATATCAATAGATAAACTGTTATCTAACATAAAATGAACTATGAAAAGTATGAAAAGTAGCTAGTTTTAAATGTATCATATCGCTGTATTCCCCTCTTTAAAACAGTAATTTTCTCAGTTGTTTTCTGCAATTAAAATCATGTCATACAATAGCAATGTCATATTTTTTGCATAATGTTGAATTAATGTTAAATACATTAATAATTTTTTTAGTTATTATTTAGTATATTGAATTTCTAATTTTATATATATATATATATATATATATATACTGTATATATATATATATTTTTAATTTTAAAAACATTGTAAAACAATAAAACAAATAAAACAATGAATGTATGTGTGTGTGTGTGTATATATACTGTATATATAATTATTAATAATTGTATAAATAATAATAATTATTATTATTATTAATGAATTATACCTGCGCTTCCCCTCGAGTTTTTGACTGATATCACACTGTTCTTGTTGAGATGAATAAGGTACCCCGTATGAATTGGAGGAGTCAGCTCCACTAAACCTCAGTGGGCTATTTTAAAGCTATTACTTCAAAGAGAAAACCTTAGCATAGTTCTGACAACAACAAAAAAACGCATAGAGCAAAGTCTAATCTTTGCACGTTTGTACCTGGATTGATACAATCAATACACAGCAAACAGTTCTATCCAAATCATCACTGCATCTTTGATACTAATATTTACCTGAGTGTATGTTCAATGTGTTTCTTCTGTTTGCTCTGTAGGGGGCAACAAGCTGAAAAAACAACATTTCCGACTAAACTGGGCTTGGATCTCCCTGGAGAAAGAGTACTACCAGGTGGATGAGGAGAGCAAGTTTCTGGAGGTGGTCTTGAGACGCAGAGGTTACCTTGGCGAGACTTCATTTGTTAGTAAGTGATGTTAAAAGAGTGCTTCATTTCCCATCATGCACTACTGATAAGATTTTATCAAGCCTCTCTGTAGTGGTAAATAACTGTGACCTCTAATTTGCTGATTGGAGTCTCTTTATAACGTCGCTATTTTAGGCTCTTTGAACTTCTATTGATGTTGCTCCTTATGTCATCAGATTTGGTTGCTTGATTTGCATCAAGACTTTGCTATGCTTCCGCCTACATCCACACTGATAATACTAGTTTTTATGACTCATAACAGTAGAAATAAAAATCAGCAACCCTACATATTATTCAACTGGCAGTTGAGTTTCCACAATCAGCAGAAAGAACCTTCAATTCCTTGAGGGACAAGAACCTTACATAAGAAAGGTCATAGATCAAAGTTAAACTATTGCATACTATATGCACATAAAAAGCACATAATTCATGCAAGGGAACTTCATTATAATGAGTTTCTGTTGTGTTGATGAGATATGCTCAGTTTTGTATCTGTATCATCATTGGCCTCCAGAATATTTGATTTAATCATAGCCTTCTGCGGTCAAATATTTTTTATGACTACTGAACATTTTTGAACACCACTAACCCTGGTATACAATAACCTACATAGTTATGCAAGTTTTATATCTCTTGTAGCACTCCAATGTCTCTTTCTTTATTTTGCAGTCATTTACTGGTTGACTGTACACTACCATTCAAATGTTTGAGGTCAGAAAGCTAGATTGATTGATTTATTTATTTAAAGAACTTTATTCAGCAAGGAGACATTAACTTGATCAAAAGTAACCGTAAAAACTTTTACGTTGTTACAAAAGATTTATATTTCAAATAAAAGCTGTTCATTTTAACTATTCATCAAAAAGTCCTGAAAAAAGTATCACAGTTTCCACAAAAATGTTAAGCAGCACAACGTTAATACTTAATTATAATAATGTTTCATTGTTCAACATTTTTACTGTTTTTATTGTATTTTTTTTATAAATAAATTCAATAAGAGAGACATTTTTTCAAAAAAATGTAAAAAAAAATAATAATAATTTTACAGTGGTATACAGAAAATTATAGTTGACAAACAAGTGTACCTCAAATTCAAGAATTCTGGACGAACAGCAAAATTTCATGAATTTGAGAAAGATTGAACTTGTATCTCAAAAATACATCAAATATTCAAAATATAACAACAAAATCTAAATAGATAAATAATATTTGATCAATTTCATAATATTTTATTCTAAACTAATAGCTTAGGATCTAGTTTAGTGTTGGTTTAAATTATTTGGACAACGTTCTATATACTCTATTTTTATATGCTTATGAAAAATTGTTCTTACTGATGTAAAAACACCCCTGAAAGTCATGGAAATGTTACTCCTTACTAGAAAATTTCATCTTCTGGAATGAATGTTTATCAGATTTTAAGCTAAATCAGTTCCAGTAGCCCAACAGAGCATGACGCTAGCAACACAAAGTCATGAGTTTGTCTCCCAGAGAGCATCAGCAGTTCAATCATCCCAAAGAGGGAGTTTTCCATTTGCATGAGCTACAACCTAGCATGGAAAACACTGTAAAAATGAGAGTTACACTGTCAGGATCACACTGACAGCCTTCCACAAGCTCTGATGAAACCGAAGAATATTCCATCCACATGCTGAGCTTGACCACCATTCCACAACTCACCTCGGTTCCGGTCCAGGGGCTGTCGATAAGATGAGCTGCTGGCCTGCTGTTCATCTGCCACTCGCTGGGTCTGGATCAGAGACCTTCCTGTACTGAAGTGGGGAGATGAGGAAGTCTTTGAAATGATGATTTTTATTCAATTATTATTTTGATTTTTCACTCTCTTCCTCAGTTTCTCTTCAAGGACTGATGTTCTCTGAATAATTGCATTTTATACAGGCATGTGACATGACAGGACCCCTCCTTTTTTGTGATGTACCTTAATATCAAAGCGCTTCTTTCTAAATTTGCTTCAAAGAAGTCCAGTTTTTTTTTCTTTGGCAACCCAATTTCTCCTTCTTCGCCGAAGCTTTCTCCCAATCGGGTCTTTCCTCTTGCAGTTTTCCCCAAAAAATGATTCTTCCCTCTAAGTTATTTATTTTTTTGTGGGATATATAAATATCTCATTATACGTTGGTGACCTTTGAGATTTCTGTGGTGGGAAGATGTAGTGTTGTCCGCTAGCTAATAATGCCCACCTGGCAACACCTGCTGTGAAGCTGCTGGCACCGTACAAACCTTTGTCAACCCAAGTGGACAGAGATCCACCAGTGGGACTGCCAAGCTAGGATGAGCATCTGATCTTCTGAAGGGCTAGACTTTATAGTCTTGACTTTATTGACCGCTCTCTTTGAAGCTTTTATTACAGAATGGTTACGTCATGCACACTGCAACATCTCTACATTGGCTGTTAACAAAGCTCTTCTGTGATTTATAGAAACACAGACGACGTGATATAAACAGGAGTTTTCTCAATCCCTTGACAGTGGTCTTTATTTGCTAGCACACTTACTTGTATATAGGAGTTTGTTGAAAAGACACTAACAATGTTTTTGTCAATGTACATCTGTAAAACATATGTTCTTTTCACTCCAATGCACTAGAAAATATATAATTATTTATTTATTGTATAATTTTTTTTGCGTTTAATTGTATAGTTCTAATGTAAAAACAATTGTAGCCCATGAGGTCAAATGCCAGCATATGGAGCATATTTCTCTTCAAATGTGGAGTTTTGCGCATCTTGTGTGTGTGTGTGTGTGTTTGTGTGTGAGAGAGAGATAGAGAGAGAGTTGAGGTGAGATAGCAGAACAAGAAAGACAGAAAAAGGGTGAATTGGAAGGAGACGGTCAAAGTAGGCAAAGAGAGAATAAAGACTGAAAGACTGGCAGATAATGAGACCTGAAGAACGTAATCTTTTTAATTGTATATTCTTAAAACAAGATAAACGCACTTGCATAAGACAGTAAGATTTTTATATAATTTTTTTTTTTTTTTTTTTTTTTTTGTATTTTATATTTTCTTTCATTTTATTTATTATTATATAGTTTTATAGTCTTTATAGTTATATATATATATTATAAAATACTTTAATTTGCTTACATTTCTGTGCTTTATTTAACGTTTATTTACTCTTTCATTCTTAAGGTATTGGTACCAAAGATGGTACGGCTGAAAAGGACAAAGATTTCAGAGGGAAAGCCCAGAAACAAGTCCAGTTTAACCCAGGTCAGACCACTGCTACCTGGAAAGTGCGCATCTTGTCAGACAGCCTATACGAGCAGTCCGAGACCTTCCAGATTGTCCTGTCAGAGCCTGTCATGGGAGCACTGGAGTTCCCAGAGGCAGCAACCGTCAAAATTGTTGACCCCGGAGATGGTAAGCTCACAAAAAAAATCAAAACATGGGTTCCAGGTGCTGGGAATGGGATAGGATAGCAACAAAGGTCAGCATGTGGGTTCAAAAGCCAGCCTTATTCAGACAAACTTCACCGTTAAGCAAACAAGTTCAGACTTCAACCGATCATTAGAAATGTTGCTTTAACATAAAATAGGTTATGTGTTTAGTCTGTTACTCAGTCTAGTCTTATTCAATCTAAGGATGCTGCTATCCACTATTGTTCAAAGGTTTGGGGTTGGCAAGATTTTTTAATCTTTTTTAAAGAAGTCACTTAAAGGCACAATATGTCATTTTTTGCCACTAGAGGGTGCGTATAAAAAAAAAACAAAGAAACAAAGGCGTAGTTAGGGTGACTGAGTGTGGAATCATGGGAGTTGTGGTCTTCATCCCCACAGCTGAAGCAATCTGATGGGACTCGGGCAGAAATCATGTTCATGGATGAGCTAATGTATTCAAGATTTATTAACGTCATTGTATGAAGCAGAGTGAGGCGGAAAGCCGTCGAAGCGAAACGAGGCCGCTGAACCAGCGCGACACACGGCTCGAAAGCGCTTTTATTATGCCACAGTCGACCGCTCCTTTCGGAAAGCAGCGGAAATAAGCAGTGCTGTTTTATCATACTAGATACATTTGAACGTTCTGTTATAATACTACTCTGTGCGGTCATCACCTGTCTAATAAAATGCATAGCATATTAAAGCGTCTGGTGTTTCCATGTTTTCTACAAAACAAAACCGGAAATCGAGGGGTTATGACGTCATTGGCAGGTGACACAATGACTATAGACACGGTCCGTGTCACTAGTTAAAATTGATTATTTCTCTGGATTTAAACATTCTTTGAAACATTTGGTATAATGTAAGTACACAAGTCAGCAAAATATATAAAACTGTTCTAGTGGTTTTTGGATATTTTAATTAAAAAATCGTACGTATTGTGCCTTTAAGCTTACCAAGGCTGCGATCATTTGATAAAAATACAGTAAAAACTGTAATTTTGTGAAATATTACAATTAAAAATCTTATCTAACATAGTAGGGAAAATATTTGCAGTATGGATGCCTGTTTCCGCCACTGAGTAAAAAATTTAAATTGCGACTTTTATCTCACAATTCAGACTTTTTTCTCGCAATTGTGAGTTAGCATCTCGCAATTCTGACTTTTTTTCAGAATTGCATGATACAAACTCACAAATTTTTTCTCAGAATTTCTCAGAATTGTGAGATATAAAATATTTTTTTCTTAGAATTGCGTGATATACAGTAAACCCACATTTGCGAGTTATAAACCCAGTATTGCGTGATATAAACTCGCAATTGTGAGGAAAAAACTGAGAATTGAGAGATTTAAACTAGCAATTCTGAGAAGTAAAGTCGCAATTCTGAGAACATATCATTCTTTTTTCCCTTTCAGGATTGGACTTTATAACTTACAATTGCGAGTTTATATCTCACAGTTCTGAGAAGCAAAGTCAGAATTGCGAGAAAGAAGTCAGAACTGCGAGTTTACATCTCACAATTCTGACATGGTAACTTGCAATTGTGAGCTTATATCTCACAATTCTGAGAAAAAAAGTCATAATTGCGAGATGTAAACTCGCAATTGTGAGAAAAAAGTTAGAATTGTAAGATAAAAACTTGCAATTACCTTTTTTTTATTCAGTGGCGGAAACAGCCTTCCATAATGTAGACTTCAGATATCAGTCAAATATCTGAACTGACAACTCAAATATCAAATATTAAAGTCAACATGAAATGTCATTTGCAACCTATTTTAATTCTGTGAGCTGAGTTATTTCTAATTGAAACAGATGAGAAAATGTAGGATGGGACTTGATGTTATCAGTTAGGAATTAACTGGATTTCGAGAAAGTGGCTGGAGGGGATGGGTTGAAAAATAAAAGTGATTGGCTATGTCAGCCAAAAAGAAAAGTTGTAAATGATGAAACTTAGCTAACATGTATTTAGACAGTAAATTAGGCCAGTTTTATTGAATTTTTACTCTAGTAGATTGATAAAATTAGAAGTATTGCATTTTAGATTTCATTTGCTGAGTGAGTGTTCCTTGTAGGCAATGTAATAATTTGTGTATGAGACAAAATTGTCAGACCGAGCAAAGGTAAGCCAGAAAATGTGGAAAAGGAGTGTCGGTGGGGGCGGACATCACAGCTGTCACCCGTCTGTACATTGTAATCATAGCATAATATCTCCAGAACATCTGAATAACATCCTGGTGCCTCCTCATCAAAACACAGCAGCCAAGCCTCTGAAGTTGTGACAGGATCTACGGCTGATTTAGCAGGAGCAGTCCCTTTGTTCTCTGATCTGACTGAATGAGCGCTTTCTCCGTAGATCTTACACTTACACTGCTTAAGATGGCAAAACTCACAACTGATTTCCCTATATATATATGTGTGTATATATATATGTGTGTCTGTGTGTGTGTGTGTGTGTGTGTGTGTGTGTGTACGGCTGATTTAGCAGGAGCAGTCCCTTTGTTCTCTGATCTGACTGAATGAGCGCTTTCTCCGTAGATCTTACACTTACACTGCTTAAGATGGCAAAACTCACAACTGATTTCCCTATATATATATGTGTGTATATATATATGTGTGTCTGTGTGTGTGTGTGTGTGTGTGTGTGTGTGTGTGTGTGTGTGTGTGTAAATCATAACTTATACAGGTACATCTCAAAAAATGTGAATATCATGAAAAAGGTCAATATTTTTTGTCACTCATTTCAGAAAGTGAAACCTATATATTATATGGATTCATTACACATAGAGTGAAATATTTCAAGCCTTTATTTCTTGAAATTTGATTTGGTGATGATTATGGCTATGTAATATTCTAATTTTCTGAGACACTGAATTTTGGGTTTTCATTATCTGTAAGCCATAATCATCAAAATTTCAAAAAATAAAGGCTTGAAATATTTCACTTTATGTGTAATGAATCTATATAATATATGGGTTTAACTTTCTGAAACGAGTGACAAAAAATATTGACCTTTTTCATGATATTCTAATTTTTTGAGATGTACCTGTATGTAACTTATATATAACTTTGCCTCAGCAAACGCTCCTTTTTAAGCCACATTCATCAAAGATCTTCTCAATCTTTTTTTCAGTGCTTACTTAAGAGGATAACATTACATAGTCTATTTGAGCTGAAGTGCAGAGATCGATGGAGAGGCATATAACGCTGCAGTCACTGTGGCCTCATATGACATTTATCAGTTACAGAGATAAGTCTGTGTTGTTCCTTTGCACAAGGACCTTTCTGAAACGAGTGACAAAAAATATTGACCTTTTTCATGATATTCTAATTTTTTGAGATGTACCTGTATGTAACTTATATATAACTTTGCCTCAGCAAACGCTCCTTTTTAAGCCACATTCATCAAAGATCTTCTCAATCTTTTTTTCAGTGCTTACTTAAGAGGATAACATTACATAGTCTATTTGAGCTGAAGTGCAGAGATCGATGGAGAGGCATATAACGCTGCAGTCACTGTGGCCTCATATGACATTTATCAGTTACAGAGATAAGTCTGTGTTGTTCCTTTGCACAAGGACATAAAACAACTTAATACCACAGTCTGAAAGGTTAAATTTCATTTAATTATCTTCAGCCTCTAAGTGCAAAGAAAGCTTCATGCAGATTTGAACAAGGCGTATAATTGAGTCTTTTTTTTTTAAAGAAAACCCACATAGCTGTGTCCTTAGAGAGCCATATATCGTCTCAATAGTGGCTGAAAAATCTAGTTTTATACACATAAAGGGGATTCATTTATTTGAAGTGGTGACCATGAAGTTGGCAAACGTTTTGAACTCACAAATGCTCACAAATAGTAACTTTCATGCTGCTTTCTGGGTTTTCAACTAGGATTCATGTGATTGTTTTGGCCGTTCCCAACCCGTCTGATAAGGGTATTCATATCTCTCCCACTACAAAACATCAATGGTTGAGGATTTCTTATCATGAAACTTGGGTCTGTCAAATTATTATACAGTTCTGAACCTTTTGACAGCAACAGAGAGATCAATCCCACTTTAAAAACACTGTAACAGAATCTAAGTTAAACATACATTTTTAAAAACTTAGAAACTTTGAGGACTAAAATGTCAAGCTCTGAAAGAACTTCACATCTGAAATGCAACTGAATCCACCTGGACTCCTCATGCAAACGATGATTTCAGTAACTTCACTAACTATTTTACATGTATTTACACTCTGCTAAATATGATGGTTGCTTTTCCCCCTAGAATCCACAGTGTTCATCCCATTGTCTACATACTCGATTGAGGAAGATATTGGAGAACTTCTGATTCCTGTGCGAAGATCTGGAGATGTCAGTCAAGAGCTCATGGTTGTCTGCTTCACACAACAAGGTGAGTTATAATAGAAACTTAAAAGTATTTCCATTTCTTACAAACCAAATCAAACTTCATGAATTTAAACTTTCAAGCTCATCAGATTTCTTCAACTACATTTGTAAACTTTTAAGTGGCGTTTATCCTAAACCCACTAAACCCGTGAGATTCAATTGGAATGCTCTAAACTTCCCTTTTTTCTCATCCGTGCAGGTACAGCCAAAGGCACGGTTCCCACCACAGTGCTTTCCTATTCTGACTACATTTCTCGACCCGAGGAACACCACAGTGTGCTGCGTTTCGATAAGGGCGAGACGGAGAAGCACTGCCGTGTGGTCGTCATCGATGACTCACTCTACGAGCCAGAGGAAAGCTTTAATGTCACCCTCAGCATGCCCATGGGCGGCCATCTGGGTCAGGAGTTCCCCACCACCAGGGTCACCATCCTGCCTGATGTGGATGACGGTAAGATACTTCACTGTGTGGGATGTGTTAGACTTGTTTGGTATTTATATGTAAGTTTTGTAATGTTTCACCAAGAGAGCAAGTATAGTTTGAGTTTGATGATCAGAGGATTTTAAAAAATGAGGCAAATTATCCAGTGGGATTCAGTTCTGCTGTGCATAGTGGAAAAAATAATTACAAGAGTTTGTAACAGTTGCAGGACTTTTTGAGTGGGATTTAACTTAATCAGTAGTGTTTTGGACTGTTTAAGTAATGCACAAGGAAGACTGGAATATTCTTAATCTTGAAATATTTATGAGCTTTCTAAAGTTTTTCAGGCAGGTAATCATATAAAACAAACTATTCTTTTAAATCTTTGGGGCACTTGCAGGACTAAGAGACGCTTGAAAACATTGTCTTGACAGTTGCTTCCATTCGATGCTGCAGCTTGGGAAGCTATCGGAGGCTTTGTTTTAACACAGTCCCGTAGCGATCTAGCTCAGAAATTTGAAGGCAAGATCACACTGAATGTTTAATCTAAGTTCATAGGATTTATTGAACACCACAGCAAACCTTGAAATGATTTTCCAGCCATAATTCATGAAGTGTGAAAGCAAAGAATGGTGGAGTCTCACCTTAAAGTGGGGAGAATGGATTATTTTGTCTGTAGAGAGAGAGTATTATTCCAATATGGTGTGGATTTCTTTCTTTCTTTTTGTGCCTGAAAGAGCCACCTGTCTTAACCTTTCGGAGTGAAGTTTAGCTTGAAAAAAATTATTTGTGGGAAAATTGTGATTTAATTATCATTATTTGAAAATGTAATTTAATTCTAATGAGAAACAGTCAACAGGTTCTGAAAAATTAAACAGACTTACATTTTTATATATATATATAAAAAAAATAATTATATGAGGCTTCTCCCATTTTTTTAGGCCTAGTAAAAATTAATTTAATTTTATGCATAATAAGAAATTCTAGAAAATCTTCAAATAAAATTTAAATAATCGACTCACCTGGATGTTGCTCAAAATATGTATTTTCTTTTTCATACAATGCAATTGATCAAATTTAATCAAATTGACTGACTTTTATAATAATACTAAATCCATAAAATAGCTATGTGTGAACATAAAATTAATATGGGGTATTATGTGCAAACAGAAAATAATATGGGGTTCAAGCAACATGATAAAGATTAGATGATCATATGATTTAGTTTTTTAGGTGAACTGTCCCTTTAAGAATATACAATTATTAATGACCTTCACAAAACAGAAACAAAACATAACAGATCCGGTCATGTATATTTTATCCTTAAGCCTTTTTAAGGTTTGATTTGATCTAATATGACTTTAAATGTGCATCAAAAACAGGGCTATCCATTTTGAAGCTGAAAGCTGTCCTCAGGCGTGTACATGTCTATGGGTACATATGTGCATCTGTGCCCCAGAAAGCACCTTATCGCTCATCTCCAGGCGTAGTTACAGGTGCTGTTCTCTATCAGATCTCCCCACGGTGCCTCTTTGTTCAGCAACACCTCCGGGCCTCCCCTCCTCTCACAGCTGCCCGGCTATCTCCTGAGACCGATGCTTATCCTGCACAGAAAGGGTAGACTGGAAGTAAAAGATCCAACAAAACAGCTGTTTTTTTTTTAGTTCTACCTACATGAAACTCAGATTCTGCTGGGAAGAAGGAGCCCTCGAGTTTGTGGGAGGTCTGAAATCTATTTGCATTTACGCACACACACACATAAGCCAGAAGAAAAATCTTGTGTAACAGCCTTTGAAGTAATTTGGTTTCATACAAGCAAATCTTTCATTAAAAATCTCATGGAAAACAAAATGTTGATGGATCAGATGATGGACAGCTTATGGATTGAAGCTCTCCTATCTCTGGGCAATCGAGTCATAGATAGATTGCGTTTATTACTATTTATGGCAGGGTTTTATGGTGGTGAAAGTGTCCTTCTTTTTAGAGGACGGTGTTACATGCCTGAAATTCCCAACAGTTGGTCGCTGCAATGTAATTTAAAACTTTGCGTGTCGAAACGCCGTGTTTGAGTCTCCAGGGTCAGCTCTAGAGGCGTCAGCACAACTGTGGTGCCACATTGATGTCTCTGTCAAGTTTTTTATGAGGGTGGACTTCATGGAATATTTTTAAATCGGTAGCCCTGTCCAGAATGTCACCAAACCATTCCAAATGTCAGGAAAGTAAAATACTGGCAGAAAACGTTTGGAGATCAAGTGGCTGGAAAAACATTTATGGCTGATAGATAGATAGATAGATAGATAGATAGATAGATAGATAGATAGATAGATAGATAGATAGATAGATAGATAGATAGATAGATAGATAGATAGATAGATAGATAGATAGATTTCAGTTTCACAAGTCTCTGGTAATGTTTGAGCTTACCGAAATAGGACAAAAGATGTTTTGTTTAGCACTTTTTTGGTTTTACCTCAGCTCTTGATTTTCAAGGTGAGGTAAATGACAATCGGAAGCCTCTTACGCATATCAGTTCGCAGGCTGATCCTATTTCTTATGGGTGATTTGTCAAGTATAAACACACAGGGTGGAGGACAGCACTAGCATGTAGAAACTGTCTTTGTTTACATCTTCATTGTTATCTTGTTTTCCAGTCCAGATACTTGGCTGATGTCAAGAATTTCAGCAAGGAGGAGTAAAAAAAGGAGAGAAAGAGAGAAAACATTGCCTGGAGCTACTCTCTGACAGCAGTGCTGGTTCACTTTTGCAAATGACGCATACACCTGAAACCTGATCGACTGTTTTTAGAAAAGACAGCACTGTGTCAGTTTATTGAGTGCCACCTACTTAGAGTACTCAGAGCACGCACAGACAGCAACAACACCCAGTAAAAATAGACAGACAAACATACAGATAGAGAGAGAGAGAGAGAGAGAGAGAGAGAGATAGATAGATAGATCGATAGATAGATA